TATTTCTTAACGCCTCTTCTGCTGACAATTTAAAGACATTGATTCATGTTGCAAGGTGTCTGAGCTGAAGAAATATTAAAAGTTAACTCTGTGGTGGTCGACTTCTTCTGCTGACTTCTGCTTAGTGTGAGTGTCGATGATCTGTGGCACAAAACCTTCAGGGTTTAATGTGGCCGTGCCAGTTAGGAGCACACACCTATAATCTGAATTGTCCTTTTGGGGGTTTGTACCTATCAATGTAAGTTTTTATAGCCCTATTTTCCTTCACATTACCCATGAAGTTATTATGTAATTTCAACCTTCTTATTCTATATATTTGTCTTTGGAATAATGACCAGGATGTACAGTCTGTGAATACCTGAGGAACAGCTTTTCTGCAAAGAGTTATTTCTGATTTAAGTCATAATAAAGAAACTTGTAAAAAAATTTAAAAACATAATAAGAATAATCATTTCTGTTTCTTTCTTCTATCATAGCCTGCAACAACATAAAAACTCTAATGAGCTTAATGAACTGTTGGTTTGGACAGAAATGCAGTAAAGTTGTTCCTCTTATTTTATAACTGCGGTACAATTTACCACCACGGTGGCCTGTTTCAGTTGATTCTTGCCAAAGTTGTCAAAGCACAACTAAAATCTGGAAATATACATTGTTTAATAAAAATGTCCAAGGAATCCCTCATTTTCTTCATCAGTTGCTATAATGGTTTTGTTTTGTACTTTTTTAAGCATCCAAAGTTTACTTTAAGCACATAAGAAGATAATGCCTGTGTTTTCTAGTACTGTTTTACCAGCCTTAGACAGTTGCCTTCACTGCAACTATGGCTGCTGCCGTTTCATGACGTTATCCATGAGCTGCTGCAGTATGGGATCACACCACTTCTGGCATTTGGGGTGTTCTTAATGAAGGGTTAAAGCCGGGCGTACACTGTGCAATTTTTTTCAGTCGTTGCGTGCAGCTACTGCTCACAATGTAGGACTAACCGCAGGGTTTATTCGTACAGTGTGAGTTCACAGCTCACGATTTATGTTCGGCCCGACGCTCTTATGTGATCTACCTGCTCACACTGTATGACTAAAAACCACGTCGGACTCAGCTCCGCAGTGAGATGGAGCTGTGAGTAGAAGGGGAAATATTAAGCTCACTAGAGCGAAACGCGCTACCTTGGCAATTTATGCAATTTTGTGCTGAAAGCCCTAAAAAGATAAGGCGACACAGTATTTGGACAAAGACATGGCTGAGTAACCGTGGCTACTACGGTCTGTCAATTTTACAGGCAGAACTGCATTTCACTCAGCATCCCTGCCATGCTTCTGTGTTTACATCTGAGAGGAAGAATAAAAAGAAAAATCTTCTTTGCAACTCACGACACACGATCATGGTGAAAATCGGCAAGATAGAAAGATTCTCGCATGACTGAAGAATCGTCACGAAAATGACAGTGTACACGCCCGGCTTAACAAAGACCCTCTCTCTAGCTGAAAAACACATTTCACAACTGAGAGATTAGCTAAAAAAAAAAAAAAAAAACTACTGTAGGTGTGGAGATTAGCTGCTAAAAGCTCCCCTTTATCTCACCTTTGAGCAGAACTGATGTGCTCTACTGTACCTCCCATCACTGACTGGAGAAAGTGGGTATGTTGTTTACTGGGCAGGAGCAAAGTGGTCAAGGTAGTTGCTTCCTCATGGTATTCAATCCCTCCTCTATGTATGTTAGGTGTTCGAATTACAGACTCTAAAAATAAATTTTACATTATAAAGCCTGTTTGAATTTGTTTTGTTCTCCATTTTATTTTAAATTAACTTTTATTTTTTGTGCCACAGAAGCTAATCCATTCCCATCTCACTTTATCCAAAAAATTTCCTCTGTCGCACAAACCTGCTGCTGGTCTTTCTTCACTACATCCATGAATCTGCGTTCTGCTCATCTTCCCTGGCAGGGCTACATAGAGCATATGTAGTCTTCTGCTCATCTCCACACAATCTCAACCTTCTCATCTGTGTTAAAGAGTTAGAATAGAAGTAGATGCCTAAAGGCTAGTAAGAGCCACCTGTCTGAGTTCAATAAACAGTATTATTGTGCAATGATCTAGGGGTTGGTGTAAAAAGGGAGTGTCTTAGTGTCAAATTAAGTCAAATCTTGGGTCACCGTCTAATTTACCACCTGGTGTCTATGATGATTTAAAAAGATGTGAATTCAAAGAGGCCCAATTTACATTTGGCTGCAACAAAAGCAATTTGGGAAGATTATGGTGACTTATGTGACTGAAGCCCAAAATATTCTGGCATTCCTAAAAAAAAGGTGGATGTTGAAAGAATTATGTTGTTTTTTTCTAAATAGATTTAGAAAAATCAACTTACAACAATGTTCTTGGTGTCTTCCAGTTTCCAGTTTCCAATAGAAAAAGAAACATTGAGTGTTGTAAATCTTGCATAATTTTATTCATTTCTTTGAATGCTTTAGGAGAAATATTGGAGCTTTGAGTTGGGAGACCTTTTCAACAGTTCATCACACTTTGTTTCATATCAGTAGTGACATATTTGTCCATCAGCGACCGAAACCACCAGCAGTGCTCCCCAGCTTCAGCTCTCCAAGCCACGCCATTACAAGATATGAATTATACAGTAAATAAATAGATGCATGGTAAAGTCTTTTCCATATACAAATATATTTTATGAAGCTTATTGTACAAGCATTTATTCTTTATACTTAACATTTACAAGATAGTTTGAGCTGAAGAATGAATAGGTTCTTAAAAACAGATGATATACTGTCCTGTTTTTTATTTATGTGTTAATTAAGTGCACTCCAGACTGTCAGAGCTGCTGCATAAAGGCCTCTTCAGCCTCAATCAATAGCATGCATTTTATTACCTCTGCAGACTAAGGAGGCACACTTTAAAAAATGCAGCAGTACAAAATAAAACATTAGACAATCTGCAAAAATGACATCTCTAAATTAAAAATGGCAAAATAATAATTCAAAAAATAAACTAGACCTGTGGTTATAACTATCAAAAGAAGCCCTACAGTCAACCTTCGCGGGCTAACAAATTTGTACCACATAAATATTTATTATTGAGCGAGGTCAGTTATCTGAATGACCGAGTCGCCCCAAAAAAAGCCAGAGACGCTAAAGCCACCCTTCTGAGGAGGGGAGGGGGGGGTTTAAACAGTGATATTTACAAAACAATGTACAAAAATATCAAAAACAAAAAAAGTTTTCTGCTTTATTGAACGCTGTCTAGACTTAATAAATAGGTTTTGTCCCCTCTGACCTGTAAACATCTTCAATGCTTTTAAGAAGAGTAAATGTGGTTTATGATTTTTGTCTAATCTTAACTGAAATTTTCTATTAGTCTTAATAAAACCAACAAAAACAGATCAGCTATCCTTGGTGAGAGTAAAGTTAATCTATTTTGGTATTATTGAAATAAAAATAATATTACAGCACAAACATTTAAATACTAACGTTAGCAAATAAATGAGGGGAAAATTTGCTGACTTCTATGTGTTTTAAAATAATAGAAGCTCTGCATAAAAGATAGATAATAGTAATCGCTGAATTATAGGTATTGTCTTAATAACAATAATGGGTATTAGTTCATTATGAAAGGCCCTAAATAAGGAAGTGTTAACTTATCTCCTGTAAATTCGGCTGTGTATTTATTTTTTGCGATTTTAGGACTAAGAATGTTCATCCTCACGCCCAGGTACCATCATCTCTCTCTGGAAAGAGAAAATCAAAGAAGATGCTGGTTAGTTATTTTAAGGAGTCCAAATCCCTCATGGAAAATGCAACCAGCACAACCTGAATAGTTTTTTAAGCTACAGTATGATAATTCACATAAAAATGATGATAATCTGAATGATATGTAGAGCAAAACTGTTTTAGAGCTGTCTTGTATTTTGATAGCAGGCAAATTACGTAGAGGAAAAATGCATTAAGGCACTTTGTAAATATTCATAGACAAATATTCAAAATTAAAGAAGGGACACAGTACAATTTAGATTACAAAAAAAAGCTCATTATTATTTGTACATATGTCAGTCCTGATAACAAGTTACTGCAGTTTTC